TTTGATGGCTCTTGTGATTTCATTTTTGGAGTAGCCATTTGCCTGTAGGGCCCAATTCAGATGGTTGGGAGCCCGAAAAACCCAGAACAACCATGAGATCCTGGCCGTGAAAGCCTTCGTGAAGTTATTAAAGATTTAGAAATATTAAGTTGGCTACGTGAACAATTTACATCTGTATTCCTCCCCAACCCTCCAAGGATAAAGCTAAACATTATGGGCATGTTCTTCCTCTGAGTTTGTTCAGTTTCTACACTAAGCAGACACTGAATCTGAATAGATGAGGGTCACAAACCCAGAGCCTGTTCAACCCTTCCCCAATGTTCTTCCAGCCACACAAGCTGCCTGGGGGCACAGTGGGAAATCAAACTCCCAACCTCTGGTTCTGCAGTCAGATGAGCTATCCAGCCAGCACTTTTTTCATAATGGTATATTAATTCCCATTATAAATCTGAGGAGCCCTCCAAAGTATGTCATCACCATTATTGTTCTGATGTTTGCTTTCCTGCTTCTCAAAAGTAACTAAAACAGTTGCCCTTTTGTAAACTTTTTAAAAACCCTGAAATCTACAGTATGGGGTATTGGTTTGTGGTGTAAAATAAACCTTCCTCCCATGTGCTTTGCCACGGCTTCCACACACAGAAGGCTAAATTAACAGCATGAGGTACAATACAAGTTGGCACTTGAACCAGGCAGTATTCCTCCTCTACCATATAGTGTGACTACCCCCCTGTAACTATCAGAATAACTAAGTTGCAGTTATGCCACAAAATAAGTGATACTCTCACTCATTAGCTTACTGCTGCACTGTACATTGGGGAAAGAATTAATTAAAACCAATTATTTGTAACAAGGTACTTCCAGGCTGTGATTTCCCATAATGTTTCATTTTAGCCTGACATTACTGTTGCAAGGAAACAACATGCTTCCAGACTGTACTTCACATAGGCAATGGTAATGTCACTTCCAAAAAGCAAGCACATAATTAATGTATGTTTCCTCCTGAGAAATAAAGTTAATTATTATGAAACATATCAATAACAGTGTAAGAGCACCTTACCCTCTCAAATGTATTTAAGAACATTTCCCATTCACCTGGACACTGGGTTTTCCATTGTGCTTCAGCAGGAGATCAATACGAATGAAGGAACTGAGATCACGCAGCATTAGTGGGAGAGAGGGAGAGGGGGGCAAGTGTCAAGCAATTATCTCTCTTACTAGAGACTGCAAGGTGGAGGAAGGATTGGGGCTCAACTCATCTTCCTTAAGTTACCAATTTCCCTTTCACAACAGCTCATTTTAGGAAGGTTCTCCAAAACATGGCAGCTCAAAAGCTTAATGTTCCTGGAAACTGAACTCTTTAAGGTCTTCATACACTTAAAAGCAATTTATACCTGGTCCCCGGTGTCTCTTTTCCATCCAAATGTAGCAGTTATTCTGAGCCACACCAGTCTGTGAGTCGAGGAAAGGAAGACGGACGCTGCGTTCAGCACACAGCCGGGAATTGTAGCTGCGGCAGTGCTCTATGGCTTCTTTGTAGAACTGGTCCCCAAGACTGCAGGACAGAGAGAGACAAAGAGGAGCATAAACTAAGGGGCATCGCTCTTCCTCAGGAGCAAAACAAAGCAAAGAGGGGAAGGGCAGATGGCTGGATTGAGAGCTGTGAAACTGTGGGCCCATAACTGACCAAAAAGTTGCAACCACAGCACGATCCTTTACCTGTTTTGCTTGTTGGTTTGGCATTGTTTGTTCTTTGTTTTGTTTTTAAAGTTCCAGCACCAGAGCATCAGACAATGTGAGTAACACTGTCTGAGGCTGCCAATAAAGAATGCACACATGGAATCCAGTCAATTTCTAAACATCCACAAACAAATAAATAAATAGATAACCCTACATGATGAGCATGTCGCATACTAACAAGATAAAATAAAGCCTGAAGATAAGTTAGATCAGCATGTGAAGTTCACACAAAGTCAGCCAGTGTCTGAGGCTTGATGTCCTTAAAAAGAGGAGGACGAAGAGGGAGATAAATACAAAGTATTTGTGAATCCTCCCCCAGTCCTACTCAAGTCTCAAACAATGAGGATTTTTATAGATGCAGCTCCTAGTCCAGTCCACTGCCACAGCCCATAATTCAGGAACGATGATTTTAATATAGAGAAAGGAGAAATGGAGGTTAAAGCAAGGCTGGCTCCTGGTGCCTCTCAGTGAAAGTGAGAAAAAATACCACATGAGGCAAGAGGGCATCCCAGCTCTCTCTGTGCTGTCACAGAGAGAATTCTGAGGTAAAGTTTGTGTCCGGAGCCAAATATTAGAAAATAAAATTAGGCGGAAGACTAATTTGCTGTTTCTAGCATGACTAGGCCCAGGGCTGGAGCAAAGCATTTTGCCCTTAGAGCCACCACCGCCCCGCTCCTCCTTCCCCCCCCCCCACGCACCATTCCGCTTATATAAACTGACTGGGCTTGCAACAGAAAGTGGCTTCAGCACTGGGAAGAAGACAACCTCCAACACTCACTGCACTTGGTAAAGCAGAAGGATACCATAAGGGACAATTATAAGCAGGTTGCCTGGCACACATAACCCAGTTCTTTAATACTTTGCCATTGCTTTCCCCTTTCCCTTCCCTGCATCACACTGCCTAACAGAAGGACCGGCCCTGACTGGTTCCTGCTTCCTACACATACAATAATACACTTAGGAACCTCAGTAACATCACAGGATATTCTAAGTTACAACCTAGTTGAACAGCTAGGAGGCCAGGCCAGAACCAGCATGAGAAACGAGTTGCTTCTGCAAGCACTAAATGAGAGTGTGGTCACACACAGAGAAACTGCATTTTGGACAGCCTGTGGAACATTCCAGTATGATCTGTTTTCCAGAAATCACATGACATACAAGGAATTGCAACCTAGACTGACTTCTATATATGTTGGCTATCCCACTTTTGTGGGATAGGGTGGAGGGATTCTCCAACAGATGGTCACTTTCAGAGCCATAGCTCCTTGGAAAGCGACCCTTCCTGATATGATAGGACATGCGCCTTTCCTACCATCTGATCGCCACCCTTAATCTTTGGGGAAATTAATTTTTAGTCTACAGTTACTGGAATTCCCTGGCTAACAATGCTGACTCCAGTTCTTAAAGCTGGGCAGCTTGATTTGCATATTATGCAAAATAGACAGTCCAATGTGTATTGTCTACACATTTGCATAATATGCTAATTAATGTGGTTTTATTTATTATGCAAATTAAGCACATTTAATATTGCATTATTTTTCTGCCAATATATTTCAGTCCTGGAATCATTTATATAGTAACCACCGACCTGTCAGTGTAATGGTTAGTTGGCTGGATAGTTAAATAAATAAATGGCTGGTTAGATGGCTGGATTCAGAACACAGAGATAGAGGGTTGAAGCTTCCTTGTTATCCTTGGGTCAGTCGGTACTTCTCCATCAAACCTACCTGACATGCTTGTTTTCAGAACGAGGTGGCGGGGTAACATGGAAAGCAACCAAGTACAGTGCTGATACATATACGTAATTAATGACATTTTGCCATGAACACTGAGCCTCTGGTAATATTCTCATGAGATGGCTGTTAATTCTTGCCATCAGTTTTTACTTAGGGCAGCCTCCCCACCTCCTTTACAGATTCATGAAAATTTCACATGTCCATGCGAATAGTATTGGGACCTAGTTTGCAGGGGAAAGATGCAGAGTAGGCTGTAGAAACCATGAGAGAAAAACAAGGTGGCATTTCATTCAGAAATGTAGAACCTACATATATTTTATTATAACTGGAAAATAATGTAGCTTATCTCTCTCTGCTGTATTTGACTCTCTCTCTCTCTCTCTCTCTCTCTCTCTCTCTCTCTCTCTCTCTCTCTCTCTCTCTCTCTCTCTCTCTCTCTCTCTCTCTCTCTCTCTCTCTCTCTCTCTCTCTCTCTCTCTCTCTCTCTCTCTCTCTCTCTCTCTCTCACACACACACACACAGAGAGAGAGAGAGGTGCCAATACAGCTTCCTAAACTCACACCCCCGTTGCTATTGTTTCGTTCCACTGCTATATTGGGAAGGAGATTATTTTCAGTAAATAAACTGCACCATTGGAATCCCTCAACCAGAACAGTCACTGATGTTGCTGGCTGGGAGACTCAAAGAAAGGTGCCATCCAGGAAAGTAACTCTGTCAAACTTTGCTTCACAATAAGTACAGATATATCCATTTCTATGTACACTTACTGAGGTGCAAGGCTCATTTAACTTTGTCGGACAGATATCTAAGTAAGCAGTTTAAAAAAAAACCCTACCAAGGCAAATAGACACAGAATGAACTTCTCAAAGTCTAAAAGCTGCTTCATCAACAAGAAGAATTTTCTGATCACTCACATTCCCTTTTTGCTTCTTGTTTCTGTTTTATTTTTGGGGGGGGGAATTGAAATGGAAACTGTATTTTTCCATGGGACAGCACCTAGCAAAGCTTTCAGCTAAGCTCCCAGAAGCCTAGGGAAAACAAACTGCAAATTAATGATGTAGAGCTTTAATGAACCATAGGGGTTATCCAGTTTAAAACCCCTGCCCCCCCCAACAGAAAAATGCATTACGTTGTGCAATGTTGAAACTTTTGAAAAGTTATTTTTGGACTACAGTTTCCATAGTGCCCCAACTGGTATTCATTGCTTCAGGTTATTCACATCAGAACAGCGTAGGCATTTCTGCAAACCATATTTCATCTGTTTCCACAGGATCAAAGCATTTCCAAAACTGCGCTATTTACCCACTGAAACTGGGGAGGGCTTAATTTATTAGTTCACCATAAAGAAAGGTTTCTTTCTCACTAGCAGTAGATGAAAGTTCTGTCTATACATTTTCCCTTGTATCTCTGGCTCTGTGAGGGCGAGAAAGTTACTGAAAGAAAGAAAGAAAGAAAGAAAGAAAGAAAGAACATTTATTAGTTCATCATAAAGAAAGGTTTCTTTCTCACTAGCCGTAGATGAAAGTTCTGTCTATACATTGTCCCTTGTATCTCTGGCTCTGTGAGGGTGAGAAAGTTTAATGGACACCAGGCAGCACTTCTAACAAAAGAAAGAAAGAAAGAAAGAAAGAAAGAAAGAAAGAAAGAAAGAAAGCTTAGAATCCAGGCCAGCTGATAGATTTAATGGACACCAGGCAGCACTTCTAACATCCAGGGTAGGGACTGACAACTAAATGGATGATACTGCAGCCCCGATACTGCAGTACCCCAGCCTACAAATCGTCAAATCCCTCTCGTTAGTCCAAAAAACACCTATTCCAGCCTCTGCTTTTAAAATGTGTATGGCCAAATCAACCAGAGTTTAGAGGGTTCCACAAGACATAGCTAACCGTTTCATTTGAACCATGCTCTAAATACAGTTCTCGAGGGGAAAGTTCATTTTAAAAGCATACTTGCTGTAAGCGGGCAGGTTTTGATAGTTTAAATAGCCGTGGTGGGGATAGAATCTGGATTTCAAAGAACACTGCTAGATTTACTGTTATGCCTTGTCAATATAACAACTTTTGCCTGACAGGTAATTATGTAATTGAGAAGGAAACAAGTGTACATATTAGAGTATCACAGTCCATTTTCAAACAGGCATCAGATGCCAACCAAAATGTGCCATGTGGACTAAAAGATGTCTCAAGAGGGAAAATGCTACCTAACCAAGATTTTTCTTGGAAAACAAGAGTAGGGATTTTGTTTCTTTGGACTAACACAATTTATATGAAGCTGAGGGAATACCGTATTTTTCTGTGTATAAGATGCTATTTTTCCCTAAAATCATCATTAACTAAAAATTGAGGGGTGTCTTATACACGGAAGTAAGCTGAGAACACAGAGAGAACAAAATGGTCCGTACCTTGAAAAGTACCGTATTTTTCGCACCATAAGACGCACTTTTTCCGGGTCCGTACCTTGAAAAGTAAATAGCACAAAATATCAGAGAGGAGGAAATACCCATGTCAAAAGGATATTTAGGCTATTGAAAACAGTTTTGGGGGGACAGGCAGAGTCAGGCTGATTCATTGCCCAGGCGCAACAAAACATCATGGATCATGTCCCTGTGGAGACTACAGAGAAAAGAGATTGGCATAAATAGCACAAAATGTCAGAGATGAGGAAATACCCATGTCGAAAGGATATTTAGTATATTGAAAACAGTTTTTGGGGGACAGGCAGAGTCAGGCTGATTCATTGCCCAGGCGCAACAAAACATCATGGATCATGTCCCTGTGGAGACTACAGAGAAAAGAGATTGGCAGGTCATTTCCTCTGCCCCCCCCCCACACACTAATGCTGCATGATTTTCATGCTACTGCCATTATTGGGAAATGAATTAATTTCAAAAAAAAATGTTATTTGTAATTAACTACTTCCAATCTCTGGCTGACAACAGTCATCCCCACCACTGCTGCTGCCTTTAGCAACAAAAGTCATTTCCTCTGCCCCACCACACACTAATGCTGCGTGATTTTCATGCTACTGCCATTATTGGGGAATGAATTAATTTCAAAAAAAATTGTTATTTGTAATT